CCATCAGGCTCTAAACAAGCAAGGACTTGTTCAATCTCAAGCAGCTGCTGGAAAGAAGGAAAACTGTGACGATCCCATTCACAATTTCCACTTGTGAAATGTCTGCACCCTGGTGGCTGGGTGCTTCAGACTTGTAAGCCTGCTGCAATCTGCTGCTAGCAATCAGCATTGACTTCCTGGCATCAGGGTCAAAAACTAACAGCTGGAGACAGTTTAGCAATCCACCTAGCTGGTTATCTATTGCACATCTACATTTTTCTAACATTAGCTAACAGAGGAATTCCAGGCCTGGTATTCTAAGTGGCTCTAACCAAAGTATTATTGTGAACTCTTGGCACAATTTCTGCAGCTTTATATTCCACTGTTCTAGCTTCATATTTCAGCATTTTCTTTGTTTGTTTCAACTGTTGCATTTGCCATTATCTCCAGGGTCATTACAAAGTCTCCCCTGCTCTAATTTGATCCATTCATTGTGCACCAAGATGCCCATTTTGTCTAGCTATGTATAATATTTCGCATCTATCAGAGTTACATTTCATTTACCATTTGCCTGCCCAATTGTGCAATCAATCTAAATATTTCTTATTTAACCCATACATTACTGAGTTCCATCTAACATTACAATTACCCATTTTAAAAACTCATTTGTGTAAATGCTACACAAAAATATGTTTGCAAACCCATAAGTGAATCTTGGCATATCATAATTAGAACTAGCTACTAGTTGAGGTTCTCATTGGCAGCCGAATAAAACAATCTCCAATGTGCAGAAAGCCCACTTAGCAAACATTACCAGGTTTAAATTTGTCATTTCCCCTGGCAAGGGAATTATTAAGGCAGATGCAGATTTAGTGCAACTAAAACTGGCAGTAAATAAGCTACTGCTTTCCTTCAGGAATATCGTGACTCTTGATGACAGAAATTGCATAAACAGCATGAAAGAAAATAATAGGTCAAGTTATCAGAACTGAAGGAAAAGATGGAAAGAGAATGAAAAGAACAGGTTGGGAACATGGAATCTTGTGGGGGGGAGGGGACGAGAGGGGGGGAGGGGACGAGAGGGGGAGAGAAACAAGATGGAGAACATTAAACCCCAAAAGAATAGGTCACGCAGATGGGACTCAGTCCACAAATTGAGAATAGAAAGGGCAGATGACAGTGTCTGAGATAGAATTGCTAAGAAAAGATTTCTGTAAACTTCCCCTCCTTTATTAATGGTTATCTGTTTTGTTGCATCAGAGTTCTAAATGCATGGTAAAAAAAAGATTTATTTCAGAGTAAGGCAGAGTTGATTCAGGTTATGACTCATTAGCCTATAAAATGGTCAGCGTTTCAAAAGTAGAAAGTGCATTTTAAGATCAGTGATGGTTTTAAAAAAAAGGAACTGCAATGTGAAATATTGATTTTGTGTCCTTCGGCCTCCACTCTAATCCTTATTGACTAGGAACAAATGGAGGGGTCTCTGAAGAGTAACTAGCGGGACGCAACAGATCGAACATAGTTGAGATGATTGCTGTTAGTATTTGGGTACCATGGGAATAAACCCTGTGTGTGCTGTAAATGAACATTTATGATATGTGCAATCTAAATTAGTGGAGGAGGAGAACAGCAGACAATCTAACTGCAATGCATAAAAGTAACTTGAAAATTTACAGTCAGATTAAAATGTTATTAGGGGCATAAAATCAATTTGATCTTTAAAGTGTTTCAGCCATGCTCTATGGTGCTGAGGAGATGGGGGAGGAATTCAGTATGTGATGAGAAGGGAGATATGCAGGTGAGTGATAAACAACCAAAGCAATAAAAACATGTTACTTACATACATCCAACAGCCGAGCTGGAACACAATATTGAGAATGTTTGTTCCCAAGTGTGGTGAGTATGGCTACATGGTTACATGCATCACTCACTCAGCACATGAGAGGGAGCAAGCAGAATTTCAAGCATGTAGACTTAAGTGCATGCACATGGCTCTGCTCACAGATCTCTGGCTGGCAGCAACAAACCTGGAGTTATAAAAAGGCTGGCAGAAAACTGCTTTCTATCATTTGAAAGTTAAAATGGACTAAAACTATAGCAAATTGTATTTATATAGCGCCTTTCACATAGGGTAGTGTCTCAGAGCGCTGCCTGAGTTTTTAGACCTTTAAAAAATAACAATTAATAATATTGATCCTTGAATGTGATATAGTGCCTCATACGTCTCAAAGTACTGCACAAGATTTAACTGTAATATGTAGTGACTGATATTTTGAAAGTGAATGAGGCACATGTGCGCACTCAGCTATGTCCTGCAACTATGAAGTGAATGACCAAGTGAATGACGAAAGTAATGTTTTGAACAAAAATAATTTTAGATACTTAATACTCAATACTCATCTCAGGTGGCTTTGTTGTTCACTCTTATTACAGTATGTACACCTGGTATGTACTATCATGCAAATGATTGCACCTCATCCACTGTGTGTGTCCAGTTAAAATAACCTGCTGTTCATCCTTCATTAAATTATTATTTTGTTCAATTGAGTTTCTATCCAATATTGAGAGAAAGGACCTTTTACTCCAAATCAATCAGTTTGAATTATTTAAAGCAAAATCTCATTTATAAATCAACTGAAATTTCCAGCAAAAGAAAAGCTGCAAAAGCTTTGTCAAAAAAAGGATTTCAGATGTGCACAAAAGAGGTTCAGATGAAGAAGTCCCATTGGACCATTTTATCTCATCCTTTCAGAATACCCATTCTACCATCCTCAGATCACAGCATCAAGCTGCTTTTTAAATGAGTCCTGTTCCTATCATTCATTACCTTCTGGTTACAGAAATACTTCCTGAGGTCTTTCCTGAAATTGCTCTTACAGGTGACTTGAAGGTATTGTTCTTGAATTTATTTTCTCAATCCCACTTAAAATCTTATATATCCGGACTGCATTTACCAATAAGACAACTAAGCCATGGCTTTGGGCCCCAAGGTCCGAGGGGTATCGCATTTGGTTGATGCCTTTGCCTCCCACTCCACTTCTCTTGTCATCGCTCTCCACACTGTTTCATACCTCATGTGAGCAACAGGAAGAAAGCTGGCATGGGAGGTATGAGGCAGAGAGTTATCTGGCTTAGGGCTCCTGGGCCCTGTACATACTCCTCTAAGGGCTTTTCTGAAATGTACCTTTCAAAGCTGAATAGCCCTAGCTTGTCTAATCAATCATTTTTTAACCAATGTAAATTCAATGGGAGGGGGAATTAACTCAGAAGGTACTAAAGTCAAACACAGATGGAATTCGTTGAAGCATCATAGATAGAGAAAGCAAATATTGTGCTGGAATCAGCTGTAAAAGAAAACTATGAGTTAGAATTGATTGAAAAAGCAATAGTTGCACTACTCTAATAATACATTGTACAATTCTCTTGAAAATGCAAGGATTGAAATAACATGTTTAAACCAAAATATAGCATTTTTATGTGAGCCTTTTGAGGTCCCTCAACTGTTGACTTGAATGGCAGTCAAACTACAAGAATAATTCAAGTGCTATGTGCGTCTTTGAAATATGCCAACTTGAAATTCAATAGTGGTTGCAAGGCTGTAGTTAACCTGTCAAATTATGCATCTAATAGTTGTTTTTATTTTCCATGATTATGCGTGCAGAAAACAGAGATCAAAGCAGTGACCGCATAACTCATGCGTCGTACTAGAACTCTTTTATCATGACTTGTCAGTGCTGTAAATCACTGATCCCACACCAGCATTCTTTTCATATAACACATTTAATGTATATTTTTGTCAAGAGTTTAAATTGTCATTGATGATTACGACAGTTTGGGGTAGACTTTCAATGGGGATTCAGTCACTTGATCACTTGAGTGATCTGGATGGTGAAATAAAGTGAACTGTCCCAAAACAATTCACCAATGAAGAAAAAAAATCACAGAAATTTGTTATAATTAAACCAGAGACTTTGGAGACTGAGTGATTTGCAAAACAAATCAAGTGACCCATTTCAATAGCTGTATTTTAAAATAAACTTTTATACTGTGTGGTAACTATATTCTGGTCTGGGTAATTGCAGGAGACCTGTAGCTCAGTGGTTAGAGCACTCGCTTTGCAAGCGGGAGACCTGAGTTCAATTCCAGGCAGGGCGAAACCTTGGGCAAGTTTCCTTACTCCACACGCCTAATAATAATCCCTCCAAACAATAATAAATTGGTCATTTTCAATCTACGACTGTTTGTGGGACATTGCTGTGCGCAATTGGCTGCCGCGTTCGCCCACAAATATACAGTCAATTCACTTTACAGTGTATTCTGTGAAGCGCTTTGGGATGTCCTCCCGACGTGAAAAGCGCTATATCAAATGCAAGGATTAGTATTATTATTATTATTATTATTTAGTCCATTGCATTTCTAGGTTTGTATTCCATTGGGTTCACTCAGCACTTCACTGTTTCAAGTTTGGAAAAATTATCATGTCTAGAAGGGTATGGAAAGCAAGGAAAAGGAAGTGTGGTCTCCTTGGGTCTGCCCATGCACTCCTGTAATTCACTCACTCTTTTATTGTTATGGCATAGGCAGTAGCTCGAGTGGATTTGAATGAAGACAATTAAACAATGGGCATTGTGAGCTACAAAGCTACAAGGAGCTAAAGGAATACACAAGTCTGTTTTTACCAACAAAATGTAAAAAGTGCAAGGTCAGATTCTCAGGATACCCAGGATGATATCCTGGATGCATGGATTCCAAACAGATTAAAACTGGTTCTCTGGTGTTGCTTACATTTACGATTTATAACTGTGATGTTATTACAGCAGGATTATTCAGATATAATCTGGGGTTGACCATCGGTAAAATGTTATGTTAGGTCATAAATCAAGCATATTGCTTTCTGTGGCTTTTGCAGTTGCTATCACGTTAGAAATAAATAAAATACAAGTCAGCTTGTCTGCTTTCTTATCTTGCTGGTGCAGTACGAACTGCGTCAAGAGGTTTAAGAATGGAATGCATTGACTTACCCATATCTGGGTCTGTTGCTTGAACTCTGGCAAGTAAAACTTTGATTACTGTATTCTCATAGACAGACACAGCATAATGTTTGGAGGAGAACACAGGGGGATTGTCATTCACGTCCTCCAGTCGTAGAATGATTTCTGACTGGCAGTAACGCCTGCCACCATCAGTCGCTTTGGCGATCAAGTTATATACTTGCGTTTCCTCACGGTCCAAAGCAGACAATGTTTTCAGTTCACCTGTGGGATTAACATGTACAACAGGAATTAAATAAGAATTCTGGAAAACAATTTAGAATGGAACTTGCTGGAGCCACAGCTGAGTTATCCATAATAGATCCAGAAGGATCCTGGTGCAATCTCTCATTTATCCTAAGTTAACTGATCGGAGCCAGTACCATGTTGGAGCCTTGACATCTCTATGGTTAAGAAAGGGGAGGGGAAGAATTCACCAAGCTTGTAAATAATATATCATAATCCTCTCGCTGAATCTGTTCCATTTCCAGCTCTCATTTTCTGGCACAGCTGAGCCATTCTTCCATTAGCTCGAGGCTGGTAATAGGCTCAAAAGCCTCATCTCTTCCACTCTTTTTTTATTGCTCAGCCAGATCAAAACCGTCAGTTAAAACTCAGATGTATTTTTACTTCTCTTTTTTTCACATTTCCCCTCTCTCCCACTGCAACACTAGTAAAATCCTAGGATGCCCCAATCTCAGGATAATCTGAGACTATTCATAAAAACATAAGAATTGATTGACGAAAGAAGACCAAGGTCCATCAAGTGGAGTCTGTTGCATACAGTTACTGCTCGTTCACTGAAATAGTGTTTCCAGCGATTTGTTTTGAATTTATCCCCCTTCAATCGCAGGCCATGTCCTCTGGTTCTACTGTCCTGGACAAGATAAAACAGCTTACCATTATTATGTCTCTCTAGAATCTTAAAAAATGCAATCATATCACCTCTCAAGAGACTATTCAATTTGAGGCTGAATTTGACAAGATTTGTTTTTTTGGATCCCAGTTAAAGAGACTGTAGACTTAAACTAGAACAGAAACTGGTTTGGCTACTGCTGCTCTACATCAACTCTGATGATATCTATCCTGGACTCTGGCTGAAGATTGTGATCACCATATCCTGTTTGGCAAGTTTTCATTAAAATTAGCTTTCAATATATAGCAGTGGGAAGCAAATAAAAATATGCATAAATAAGTGCAAAACCACATATACCATACAATTTACATTTATAAGGGAGGATGACTCAAAGCTCTTTACCCAGCTAATGTTTAGAAGTACTTAGCACAAAACTTTTAACAGGAGTAAAAGGTACTAGATCAAACACATTTATAATGTTCAGAAAGCAAATCTAGCCTTAAAATGTATTACATTATGTGTAACCACCAAAAAAATTGGATTTATAGTTGTGAAATCTTTCAAGATACACATGTTCTACAGGGTTGAGATCACTCACTAACATTTTATTTTTAAATATTAACAACACGTTTCTTAAGAGAAGGCCTGGCCAATAATCTCCCAGATAAAAAAAATGATCATTCACTTCATAGCTGTTTGTGGACGATGCTGTGTGCAAATTGGCTGCTGTGTTCACCTTCAAAACAAAAGCCACTAGCACTTCACAGAAAATCTTTGAGACATTTCAATGCGAGAAGATGTAATATAAAATACAAAGATTATTTTATTTAAAATGTACCAAGAAATAAAAAAAATTAAACTAATTCTGATTTTTTCTACAATCAAATTTAATGTGAAGTTGTAAGCTGACAGAAGAGCATTAAATCATATTCTTGCACCAGATATGTCAGCTCTGATAAATTTACTCTCATTGTCCTCAAGATAATTCTGAATGAGAATCTGTTCTAATTCTCATATATCATGTATGATATATTTCAGTGTTTCTTTTTAAAAAAGGATTTTGGAAATACATTACAATTTACATTTATGTAGCTCCTTTCACATCAGGACAATGTCTTGAAGTGCTTAACAGTGGGGTCCTTAACAGTCCTTAACTGGGCTCCCAAGATGGGGGTAGAAGCCATAGGAGTGGGAGGGGAAAGAGAAAGGTCTTGAGACTGACGTTTAACAAGGTGAGGGAAGGATCGAGCAGGAGGAACTCCAGGATGGAGTTCCAGAGGGTTCTTTGTTCCTTCCAGGGATGCTTGTTCATACATCAAGAATGATCACATGGAACAGATATCATAGGCTTGCCAGTTTTCACAGAAAATACTCCCTCCCATAAGAAATTTGGAGCTAAAAAAGTTACATCATTTGCTATTATTATCCAAAGTACTACCCAAAAATAACACCCCAAAATACCCAATCTTGAATATTGCATTATAATAATCTTTGCCTTTATGTCACAAGAATACAAAGTGTTTCACAGGATTTATTGTGAAGCATAGTGACCGACTGTATTTTGTGGGTCAGCACATCAGCCAATTTGTGCGCTTCAATGCCCCATAAACAGCCATGAAACGAATGACCAATTTTATCTGGGGAATTGTTGGCCAGGATAACCGGAGAAACTCCCTTCTCTTTTCCAGCAATGCCGTGGGATCTTTAATGTCCACCTGAACAGGCAGATGGGACCTCAATTTAACGTCTAATCTGTAGGATGGCACACTCTTAGCACTGCACTGAAGTGTCAGCATAAACTATTTGAATTCAAACTCCCGACGTGGGGCTTAAACCCCACAACTTTCTGACTCAGAAGCGAGAGTGCTACCAACTGAGCCAAGCTGAATTATTAAGTACTTCCATATTCTGCAATAAGTTTTACTTTTGAATCTATTTTGAATACTTGAATACCTTGTTATCAATACAATGCTCAATATTATACACAATGCAGCTCAGAAGGTGACTATTTATTTATTATGTGCCTTGTAGCTCCCTCAATGGAGCTATCTACTCTAATCCCATTTTAACCATTTATACTTTAATTTTAGCAGTTTAATCCCCTTTTAAATGTCATAATTGGTTTAGCTACAATAGTTACCTGTAGTATCATGTTCCACATCCTTGTGATCCCTTGCATAAATGCACTTCTCATAACCTCAATTTTTATGCTTCATATGAAACAATGAAACTCATCCTCAATCATTTGCTCTCTTACAAGAAGAAAACTGAAGAAATCTTGATTCAGGATTTCTACACAAACACTCACCACTTTCAGGTTCCAGAAAAAATTTATCAGAGCCAGGTCCATGCAAAGAATATCGGATGTCTCCATTTGCCCCAATGTCTGCATCCTGAGCATGAATCTTTAGAATAACTTTATTTGGTGGCAAATCTTCTGGAAATGTCTCTGTGTACGTGACCTGCAATTAATTGAATGCAACACATTTTGTCTTAGCTGGAGTTAGACATGCTAGCACTCTTCAGTCTTGAGAAGACATCTCAGAGGGAACTGTATTGAGATGTGTATCATTTTAAATGTGGTTGAAAACGTAAATGCAGAACAATACTTTAGAATGCACCAAGTTTGTAGAACAAGAGGGCATAGGTTTAGAGTTGCAAAGAGCAATTTCAGAAAAGACACCAGGAAGAATATATTTACTCTGAGGGTAATTAATGACTGGAACAGGTTGTCAGAAAGAATGGTTGAGGCCGGGACACTGGACTCATTTAAAAAGCAACTTGATGTTGTGATAGGAGAATAGTAGGATGGGTATTCTGGAAGGATGAGATCAAATAGATCGAAGAGTCTTGTTCGTCCAAACCAATCTTGTGAGTTCAGATTTCAGTTATTGAAAATATTTATGAGAATACGAAGAGAGAGGAAGAGTGTCTTTTTGTCTTGCTAATTGTACCTGGTCACAGACTGGACTGTTATCATTGGCGTCCAACACTCGGACCTCGACCATTGCTCTCGAAACAAAAAGTCCATCGGTAGCTGTAATATTCAGCAGGTAAATATCTTGCTCCTCACGGTCTAATTGTCTCTTCACATAGACCTTCCACTCATTCTGAACCAGGCCAAGGGCAAACTTTCCTTTTGGATTTCCTCCTAAACAAAAATAGCAAAAATGCAAACCTTGTAAACATCATGGTGATAACAAGCAAATTCAGTCATCTCTGAAACTGCTCACTCCTACAATATAATTACCCTTGCATTTGATATAGCGCCTCATCACATCTTCGAGATGTCTCAAAGCCTTCACAGAATATACTGTAAAGTGAATTGATTGTATATTTTGTGGACAAAACATGGCAGTCAATTGCGCACAGCAGTGGCCTACAAACAGTCTTGGATTGACTGTCAACAAAATTAATGAAGCTGTTGTGTTGAATAATACTGAGCATAAGGTTATTTTAGAACAACAACTTGCATTTAAATTGTGTCCTTCATGTGCGGTAGCATCTTGGAGTGCTTATTTTACTAACACAATTGCACCCAAAACAAATAGTTCTGAACAATAGATTTTAAAAATATTTTTGGATCATACTTTTCACAGATATCTGTAAGCTCTATGTGCTGAGTTATATTAATTTGAAGAAGACATAATGTATCAAATACTTCAGTCTACCAAGATTCAAGAAAATGTTTTGCTGCCCATGATTCTGAATACTATTTTTTTTAGAAAAAAGGAGTGAGATTCAGATTTTTACTTTTTGCTCTTTATGGTAAGTGAAGTCAAGCACATCAAATTAGTTATTATAGCACTTTTCGCGAAGAATTTCTGAGTGTTTTAAAGGTGGAATTAAGAGCTCCAGCTGGGTGGGAGATTCACAGAGGAATGGGGGAGATAACTGAAGCACAGTCAGAGATGGGTTTCCACATAATTTCCTGCACATACACAGAAATCAGTGACAATCTGAACATTGGCCATTTTTGTGTGCTGCATTACATTCCAGTGAGGAGCTAGCGTGTCCTTGATCTGTGTTGAAAGTGCTTGAAACACGATTGTATTTGTAAAGGTCAGTGGGATCTAATTTGTGGCATTTCTTGACAGGATTCCTTAATATGGTTACCAAGTGGGTAAATGGAAATTTCTTCAGTAATTTTAGGTACATCACCCCATCCTAAAGAAAACTTCTGCCTTGATCTATTTCTGAAATGGAATACCAATGGGTTTATTGGAATTCTAATGGGTTGCCTTAATAAGGAATTAATGAGGGATTCATCATTTAGCAATCTGCAGTGAGGAATGTAAAATTAGATTTCTTTAAAGTAATTTATTTTTCTGATTAAATGGGAAAATAAAACTAGACATGATCAATGCGTTGTTGCTCTTAATTCTGAATCATAAGTGCTACCAGTTCAATTTTTCTACAGGCAAATTTTAACTAGCTCACTGAACCGTTAAACGGACATTCAAAATTATGTTGAGTAATTCAAAGAACGTGATACAAAAGCAGATTAAAGTAAAATGAACAGTTTTCGGATACAGCTATTATTGGGAAGTGTAGGGGTATCCCCACATTAAGGTGTTGGGTGAGTTTGACGTGTTGGGATTTCCATGGACCAGGAAACAAAGTGTTTTGGTCATAAACGTTTCATTATTTTACCAAAAGCATTATCATAGTGACACAGGTGCAACCTTAGTGCGTGGTTTATTAGTACCGTTCAGAAACATTTACAAAACACAAGAAGATACATTAGTATTAAATAGCCCTCAAGGCTAGACATTCAAGAGACATTTTGGCGAGATAATGTGGCAATTATTTCACATTCATCATTTCAAAGAGCTCACAAGAAGGAGAGGAAATGAGACAGAACAACCTTTCATTAAACTGAAACTGACATCGAACCTTGCACTATTACTTTTTTTAATCATTGAACTCCTTGGGCATCTTTCGTGGCAAAAAGACACAGTTTCCATTCTGAAGGGAGAAGGTTAAGAGCAATTCCACACATGCAGGGCAAAACTGCAGAATTATATCACACATTGCAATTTTCATAAGTCTTGATAGAATTAGCAAGGAGGATTTTCTGCATAGTGTTCCTCCTTTTATCTTTTATTCAACATCTCACAAGCCAGGGATTTTTGCCCTTATCTCCTAGACACTCACTAGCTTCAGAGTAATTCAGATTAGAGAGGAATTTTTACGTAGATGTCCTTTTCTATCCAGACATCTATAATTTGACTAGGCCAATGAAGATTCAAGATAAACCATTGAAGCATTAAGTATACACGCTTTAACACTGAAGACAAGGAACTACAAAATCATCCTACACGCTTTAACACTGAAGACAAGGAACTACAAAATCATCCATTCTAATCACAAACCCATAACCCACTGCACTGCAGACTGTAACCTTTTGTAAGAATTTACTAAATAACCTGCTAACAAATTTATGTTCTGTAAATAATTTTAAAAAATCTACAATACAATATAAATTTATAATATATAGCACCTTTCACATCAGGAGGACATCCTAATGAGCTTGACAATTCTGTCTGAGCACTGGGGTGAGAAGGGGAAAGATAACCAAAATCACGGTCAAAAAGGTAAGTTTTGAGGTGAACTTTGAAATACAGGAAGGGAGTATATTGGAGGGATTTGTGAATGGAGTTCCAGAAAGCAGGCCCCAAGTGGCTGAATGCTCAACCAGATGGTGGGGTGGATAGAGCAGTAATAAATCTATATTATAAAGTATTTTTTAACAAATGTCTTAATTAGTTATAACTAAGCTTAATTACTTATAACTAGTTATAAATCAACTCTGTAACTACCCTGCATGAAGGGCACTATATAAATACAAGTTGTTGTTATTATTATTATAACTACACTGCCTGTGGTAGTAACTCTTTTCACTGTCCCCCCCACCACCCGAATGTTACAATGATTGGGTCTGAAGTCAACATTAAACTTGCAAACATATGGAGTGCAGCCTTTGGGAGCCATTTATTGGATTGCTATCTTAACTCGACTCCAAAAATTGAATTAAGAATAGAAGCAGGGACATTTTAACTTGTACAAATCATTTTTTAGAATATTGAGGCCAGTTTTTGTCACAGTACGTGAAGAAGGATTTCAGGTTTAGAAAGGTTGCAAAGGAGGTAGGAATAACACAAGGGATGAGTGGTTTGACCTTACCAACTCTCCTGGAACAGAGAAGGATGAGGACCTAATAGAAGTTTTCAAGATGATGAGGAATTTTCATAGAGTAGAGTGGATAAAATTATTTCTGATGAATCAGTAATTAAGAGAGTATCAATTTAAAATAAGGAGGAAAGGAAAGATACGCTCTTTTTATAAACACAAAGTTGTTAGGATGTGAAATGCTCTGCTGGTTGTAGTGGTTGAGGCAGGATTCATATTTGGTTTTTGAAGAGGGAATTGGAGAGATATCTAAAAAGCAATAAATGGGACTGAATGGGTTGCTCTTTCAAAAAGCCAGCACAGATATGATGAGCCAAATGATCTTATGTGCTGTAAAGATTTCTGGTTCCAAACCTGAGCTAAATCCACATAGCTTGCCATTGCTATTAACTGGAGAATTTAGTACTTCGCGCACATCACTCCGACCCTAGGGCTTCACTGTCTGAAAATGCTGAGAGTTGAATTGGCATTTTTGTGAGAAGGTGTCATATGCTTCCAGATTTCTTGATTTAAAAAATGCTACAAAATTGACTCCCTATATTTACTCGTCTGAAGATAATAAAGCTGTGCTGATTTTCAATGGTGAAATAGACTGCTGACTGATTTCTGCTTGCTGTTTGGGATTTAATTTTATCTTTAAGTGAAATCAATTGGCCGGAAATGCTGCATATAAAATGCACTCATTCTATCCGGCAATGTGCAGCAGTTCATTCAATTTTTGATTATGTCCCAAGGTCTAAATACTTTCACTTGCAATGACCTTATTCTACTGGCGCTTTCGAAATGAATTTATACCCAATAGTTGTGTCATTCAGACTAGAATGCCATAGAGTTAAAATGCCACCTGAGCCTTGATTTACTCTGTGTACCATTTCAGAAGATTCTTAATTACAGCCTTAATTTTGAAATTACTTACTGTAAATTATTTTAAGAACTACTGTAAAATAACTTCATAGGGGTTTTATTTGGGTAGCTGAGTGTCTGACTCATGCATCAACATGATTAAGCGTATCCAAACCAGACAAATGCATGCCACCTACACATGGAAATTCCCATTAACAGGAATGGAATGTACACTCTCTCCAGAGAGACACATTCCGCTTACGTAATTCTGGGGAATATTATGTGCAGAACCAAGGCTTGGGGAGAACCAAGGCTTGGGGACCCTAGAGCGTGCTGGAGTTTAATCAGCTAATACCACATACAATATAATACAAAATTACATTTGTACAGCACCTTTCACATTGAGAGGGTCTCCCAAGGCACTGGACAGTCAGGGATTTGAACCCAAGCAAGAGGTTGGGATCAGGGAGGGTGGAGGCTGAAGCTGCGGTTAAAGAGGAGAGTCTTGATACATGCATTGAAGGAGGCAAGGGAGGGAACAAGGCGAAGGGAATGTGGGATGGAGTTCCAAAGGATGGGGGCAGAGAGGCTGAAGGCCCGACTGCCGATGGTGGGGCGGGCTGGGCGGAGTACGTGGAGCAGGCTGCCTAGAGATTTGAGTAACATCATGCTTGCCTCAGTATAGTATCTACACTTATCTGCAGTATCTTCCTCACCATTGGAGGAGCATGGGTGGAAACAGAATTGATATTTAAGTGGTTTGTTTATGAACAATTTTCGCTCAGTGGGACTGTTAAGACAGTCATCAATCTTTAGAGATAAGGTGCCCTGTGTGGAATTTCATTCATTTCCCCACCACCACAACCACCACCATGCATTTAGCTTCAGGGTTAAATGGGGTGAGCCACCTGTATGATGCTTATATTTGAAAAATTTCAAGATTTCTTCAGTTAATATACATAGATGCTGTTCGTTTTTCATTCTTCAATGGTAACTGGTTACATATTCTTCTGACCAATATTCATATTTGGCAGTGGTGTTAGTGGGAAGAGGGAACCCAATAATATCTCTCTGGTCCACTATAGAGATTTTACTGCCAAAACTTGTGGTCAAAACCTACTTCACTCTTGGTTCAATTTTCAGATTATCACATTTTATGATGAGAGTTACAGGCTGAACCTTAAAGGTTCAACAAAACAAACCCATGTAACAAGATTGCATTTGATTTAGCACGTTATTACATAATAAGTGTTTCATGGTCTCAAAGTTAAGATCATTGCATTTAAAATAAGGTCAGATGCAACAATACTCTTAACATTGATACCATGAAATATTATTATAATAACCATTTTTGCATTTGATATAATGCCTTATCACGTTGTTGAGACATCTCAAAGCGCTTCCCAGAATATATTGTGAAGTGGTGTGACTGAAATTCAGCAGCCAATTTGCACACAGCAATGTTCGGAATCAATGAACAATTTTTCCTGGGATATTATTGGCCAGGACAGCAGAAGAAACTCCCTTCTCTTTTTGAATACTGCCATGGGATCTGTAATGTTCACCTGAACAGGCAGAGGGGACCTTGGTTTAACATCTTGTCCGAAGTACAATAACTCCAACAATGGCAGCATTGCATTGGAGGGGGGCTTGAACTCACAACTTTCTGACTCAGAGGTGAGAGTGCTAACAACTGAGGCAAGCTGATAAAGATTTCTGACCTCAGATATCAGCCCTACAATAGTCCTAGCCATCAGTATTACTGGCTAGGGCCAAACTTGTAAAGCTAACCATCAGCAGATAAAATGATAGAATCTTCATCCGCTTGATTTGAAAGTTTTCTTTAATTTTACAATTGTGCGACTGACTAATCGGCTGGCTAGCTGTTTTACTATTAAACTGAATGCAGATCAAATCAGGCTGCATTTAACTTTTGGAGAATGATACCTTGCTGCATGTATTTCTGGCACATTGCTGTCAAGATGCCAGATAGTGTCATCACAGCAAATGTCATTCCACTAAATGGGATTTCTTCTAGTTCAATTAAAAGACAAATAGAATTACCTATGTAAAATGTGAACAGACTGACATTGTAAAAATAGCACATTGCAAATCCAATATGACCATTGAAGTGAATGACATGTCAATGGCCATCTGAAACAAGATTTTATAGGCGTTAAAAGGCACTCATCATTTTTTGCTGCAATATGATCCAAACACCAGAATGCCTCATTAAGTGAAACGTACCATATTGGCAGTGTACGTTCCAGTCACTAGAGGGTAACACTGGCAGATGGTACCATCCCAGCTGTGACTCCTGTCATACTTGAATAACCTCTTCTCTGTTCTCTTCATATGTATTCCTCCAGTGGGGGAATATAAGTCAGGCTTCTTAAAGGACAACTCTGTCTCGTACATAATTGGAGCAGGCAGGTCATTGCTTTTAATCTGAGTGGGATACTCCCACTCTTCCTCCAATTTACAATTCCCAACACCTGGAACTGTTGTCCAACCATCTGACAATAAACTACACATCTAATTATAAATGCAAGGCTTAATAAGTTAATCAGGACACATTAGAGAGAGAAAGAAAACAATTTTAAAGCAACTAATCACATCAAAACAGCTAAAGTACTTCACAATAGTTACTGTGAGTTTTTGTAGACAAATGTAGCAGCCACTTGTGCAAGAAAAGCCCAACAAATTACCGAACGTGAATTAATTTGGAGGATTGTTGACCTGGATACCAAGAGAAATTCCTTTCTCTTTTTGAATAATGTCACAGGATCTTTTACGATACGCTTGAAAAAGCAGACAAGACCTTGGTTTAATGCTTCATCCAAAGTACGATATATGTGACAAATCAGAGTTCCTGCATTAGAGTGTTGACCTAGATATGAGTTCAATTTTTCATGTGGAGCATCATCTAAGCCAAACTGACAGAGCTAACCCAACTGTGTTGACACTATCTTGGCAAGATATACCATGTTGATGCAAATAGAAGGGTGTTTTGCCCTCATTCTAGACTCTTTTGCAGGTTAGTGATAGATATATTCTGCAATCTTGAGGCAATGCTCAAAACCCTACCCACCAAGCATGTATTGGTCTGAAAATATTCACCAGCACAAATCACAGCACTGAACAAAAAGCATTCAGAAAGCATGGATGAACACTGAATAATAATAATCCTTGCATTTGATGTAGCGCTTTTCACATCAGGAGGACGTCCCAAAACGCTTCACAGAACACACTGTACAGTGAATTGACTGTATATTTGTGGGCGAACGGGGCAGCCAATTGCGCACAGCAATGTCCCACAAACAGTCGTAGATTGAAAATGACCAATTTATTATTGTTTTTGGTTTTGGAGGGATTATTATTAGGCGTGTGGAGTAAGGAAACTTGCCCAAGGTTTCGCCCTGCCTGGAATTGAACTCAGGTCTCTCGCTTGCAAAGCGAGTGCTCTAATCACTGAGCTACAGGACTCCACAATGGATTTGAGTTGATCAACCTATGTTAAACAAAAGATAACAATGAATGGGTTCAATTGGGTTAACTCCACATGAATTAGTCAGTCATTATTTCTATATAACTATACGACTACAGCAACAACTTGCATTTATATACCACCCTTCATATAGGACAGCGTCTCAGAACGCTTAACTATAACAAATATGCAATTTGACGATTCCATACAAATTTATATTACACTGCTCTTTTGGTCTTACCTGTAATATGATAACTAACTAGTCGGTTGATTTCAGATGTGTCATCGTCTTGCGTGCTAAGCACTGCAACAACCTCACCGGGTGAGTCACTTTCTCTAACGGATGCCCTGTATACTTCAGTCACAAAGTTTGGAGCATTGTCATTTATATCTGTAACAGCCACTTGAACTATTGCTGTTGAGGACAGAGACACTGTCTTGCCAAGGTCAAAAGCCACTACTGCAAACGTGTACATTGGTTGCTTTTCATGGTCAAGATCCTTCAAAGTTGTAATCCAGCCATTTTTGCTGTCAATGGTAAATATTTCTGTAACCTCTTCAAGTTCTGATTGAGCTGCTGGGACCAGACTATATATGACCTGTCCGTTGGCTCCTGAGTCTTCATCGGTTGCTTTGACTTGGATCACTTTTGTCCTTATAGGCATCCCTTCCATCACCACAGCCTCATATGGATTGGCGTCAAAGATAGGCTTGTTATCATTCAAGTCCATAACTTCAACTTTGACACCAGCTGTCAAAACAATGTCAGTTTTTCCATTATTAATAGTGGCCGTAACCAAAAATTCATAAAGATGAGTTGCTTCATAATCGAGCTTCTTTTCCAGTTTTATCACACCGGAGTGCGAGTCTATCACAAATACACCTTCTTGATTATTTTTAGGTAAGCCACCATTGACTGTACTGAAAAGAACATTGCGGTGAGGCAGAACCTGGACAATACCCATAATGCGTCCTATTGGAACATCCTCTGGTAGCAGAAACGAATACTCGTGTTGTAAAAAAGTGGGAAACACTGTCTCCGGAGGAAGTATATGGAGGTAGACAGGAACCAGAGCACTCCTCACAGGAACACCGCCATCTGAGGCTTTAACAAAGAAGGATAGAATTGTATCTTTTAGATGGCTAAAACTTTCCTTGGTGACAATCCATCCGGTTTCATGATCAATGTCAACTGCACTCGCAACTAAATTTGAATCTTCACTGTATAATGAAAACATAACTCTGGCATTCGTGCCTTGATCTGGGTCAGAAGCCGCCACTTGAATGATCAAAGTCCCTTTATTCACATCTGCTTTGAAACTTGTTCTGTACTCTGAGGCACTGAACTGAGGAGCATTGTCATTCTCATCCATCAGTTTGACCCTGACAGTGCAGAATGTTGCCCTGCCACCACCATCAACAGCCATGACTGTAATATCAATATCGCTCTCCAGAGGAATTTCTCGGTTTGACTTTTCAGTTGTGATAATATTTCCTTCAGTGTCAATGGAGAACCGGTCTCTTGCAATGTCATTAACTATAGAGAAGATAATTTGCCCGTACTCCTCAGAATCCCCATCTGTAGCCACTACCTGAGTCACCGTTGTCCCAATGGCACAATTCTCTCTCAGTTCTACCAGATAAATACTGCGTGAAAAGACTGGGCTGTACAAGTTAGCACTGAAAACCCTGATATGTACTTGAGCTGTGCTGGTAAAAATGCCATCTGACACAGAGACATTCAGGTTGTATGCAGAGTCCACTCTCTGTTTGCGGTGATTAGACAGTGTAATAATCCCTCTCCTGCTGTCCATGACAAAATTCATGTGGTCATTTCCAGATAGGATGCTGTACTCCAATTGCTCAGTATCAGAATTATCTGCATCAAATGCCTGGACACAGGTAACAAAATGACCGCGTGGGGCAAGCTCGTTCACATAAGACTCGTACAGAAGCTGGTTAAAAACTGGAGGGTTGTCATTCATGTCACTCACATAAACAGTAACTGGGACATCACTGCTCAGTGGTGGGATGCCATTGTCTGTGGCTCTGACGATAAAGTTATACTGTTGAATTAGTTCATAGTCCAACATACGTGATGTTAAAATCAGCCCACTGGTGCTGTCTATGTGAAAGTAGTCTGTGCTGTTTAAATTATCGTGGACAATCTGATAATGTACGACTTGGCTATTTTCAGAGTCTGCATCTAAAGCAACAGCTTGTAGCACAGGGGTTCCGATCATCGAGGATTCAGAAAGCATGACTTTGTACATCGTCTTCTCAAACACTGGAGGGTTATCATTAACATCATGCACAACTATATCCACGGTCACTTCAGCTCGAGCACCCGTCAGCGAGTCCGTTGCCCTGATAGTCATTTTATAGCTCGATTCAGCTTCATAGTCGAGAGGACTGATGACACTAATTACCCCTGTATCAAAGTTTATGTTGAACTGATTTAAAGGATTTCCATCAGTAATGGTGTATATTAGACTTTGACCTTCAGGACTAGTGGCATTGATGCTGATGATAGGGGTGTGCGGCTGGATGTCTTCATTTACTGCAGCCAAATAAAACGGCTTGGCAAAGACTGGCATGGCTTTATTAACAACTGTGATGGGTAGTTTTACACAAGTAGAGAGAGCAGGTGCACCCCCATCCTTAGCGATGACGTCAATGTCATATTCAACGTTAGACAAATCAGACTCAAAAGGTTCTTTCAATGTGACAATCCCCGTATGCTGGTCAATCTCAAAGTGGTCCGGCCCGTCTCCAAGAAAGTAGGTTATCTCTCCATTTTTGCCCTTGTCTCGGTCCATGGCTGTCACGTGGTATATAATGGCACCAGGCTCTGCATCAACTTGCACAGCAGCGTAATAAGGAAGACCCACAAAGGCCGGTGGATTGTCATTGATGTCTTCAACCTGGACTCTGATAACTACTCGTGCAACGTGCCACGGGTCATGCTCGCGACTTGCTTCCACCACCAGCTCATATACCTCTCGCTCTTCTCGGTCAAAGGACACAGGCATTGTTTGCACAATCCCAGAGGTGGATTTTATCCTGAACTTGTCACCAGGATTTAATATTCTGTACTTCAGAGGTTCATTAAGCTGGTTTCCCACAGCATTAACCACAGCCACCTTTTTTGACTCCGTGCTATTCTCCCAGATGGAGGCAGTGTAGAAGGTTTGAGTGAAGTGCAGGCCGCTGTCAATGGCATCTTTCACTGTTATTTTTACCAGCGCTGAACTGCTGAACTTCCCATCTGATACACAAACAGTCAGTTCATAGAGTTCTTCGTCAAGGGTGTGATTCTTCACTGTAATGACCCCACTCTTAAGACTGATTAAAAAATAGTTTGCTGTATTTCCATCGGTCAGCGTGTATGTTAGCTCTGATAGCACTTCAAAATCAGGATCCGTGGCTGAGACAGTCAGAACCTCTACCCCAGTGTACGTTGGTAGGAGAAGCACAGACTCGTAGACATCTTGACTGAACTTTGGTGGCGAGTCATTGGTATCAGTCACATGAATGGTCACCTCTGCCAGACTTTCAGCTGTAAGCTGGGGGGTGCCACTGTCTCTGACTTGCACTTGGAAATGGAACACTGGAATGGTTTCATGGTCTAAAGTGGCTGTGGTCCTGATTGCCCCAGTGCTCGAATCGACTGAAAAATATTTTTTTGCAGTAGATTCCACAATTTGATAGACAAGCAGTGCATTCTGGTTTTGATCAGCATCAGTGGCTCTTATGACAAGTGGCGTGTTTCCAGAGATTAAAACAACACTGTTGGTTGGAGCAGCCTCACTGATACTCCCTGTGTACTGTGAATGCATAAACACTGGAGGGTTGTCATTCTCATCCACCACGTGTATATTGACTGAAGTGTTTGATGACATCCCTGCCATATTGGTTGCCTGGACTATCAAGTTATAAGAAGGAATGTGCTCATAGTCAAGAGGTTTGTGGACACTGATGACACCAGAATAAGGATTTATTGTAAAGATACTTTCTATGTTTCCATCTTTTATTTCATAAACCACCGTTGATTGGCTCACTGCGGAGATCATGATCACTGAAGACCCAGCACTGACATTTTCATTGACTTCTTTTGCGTATTGTTTCTGAAGGAACTTTGGGTGTGCGTTATCTGAAATGGTCACAGAGACGTGCACGATTGCAGTGGCGGAAAGAGGTGGTGAACCCTGATCGGTGGCTTTAACAGTCATTATATACTGGCCAAGAGAGGACAGGTCAAGTTCTTTCGACACGCTGATAATTCCCAAAACTGGTTCAATTTTAAAAGTATTCTCAGGGTTTCCTGCAAACGGAGAAAAAGAGAGAGAATGGGTGATAAATTAGTAAAAGAAAATTTGAACTGTACATTTTTTTTCCAGACATCACCACAAATTACTTTCTCTATATAAAAAAGATTTCATATGGATTTGAATCTTTGAAGATTTGCTAATAATGGTGCAGGCTGTTTTGATTATAAAGACACAGATTACTTTAAACTACTGTGAATCTTCAAGCATGTACATTCTTAAACATTGTCATTTGTCTGATGGGTAAAATGCATTTGCACATATTGCACTAGTTAATGTGGATGCACAACGCACCATGGCACGTGAACATCATTTTGCTCTGTTAACTTGAATGAATTCATTAAAATCAAATAAACTTCTACCCAACCTTGTGGGCTTGCACTACTTAAGGCTCATCATAGGAAACAAAATAACATCATGCGCGGCCAGAAATTCGTAACAAGTTACAGAAAAGAGTGAATATCGCTGAAACTGGCAAGAAATTGTGCCTCACCCACTTTGATTTTGCATTATTATTGAAGCCATTAGTGCACTTCATTCATCATAGTGGGTTTAATTTATATTATTTTTCAGCACAATTCTTAATAATGAAGCCAGTTGGATTCCCATTGATTCTTGGGAACTCTTCTATCAAATTGAAAGGATTTGTGCAGAACTTAAACTCAAGAAAATCCTGGCACCTTTAGTGCTGTTTACTGGACATTGCAGTGCACAAGTTGGCTAGCGCATTCACCTACAGAATACTCAGTCAACAATAACAACAACTTGTAATTATGTAGCACCCTTCACCTGGGTTGTATCTCGGAGTGCTTAACATCAGCGTAGTTTGATGCTGAACTGGAAAGGGAAAAGATTTGACCAAGGCATGGTCAAAGAGGAAAGTCTTCACATGTGATTTGAAGATGGACAAAGAGCGATTGAGGCAGAGAGTTCCAGAGATTCGGTGCATAATGGTGCATAAGCTGCCAATGGTGAAGCAGAGGGGACATGCAGAAGACCTGAGTCAACTGACTGAAAGCGGTAGGTAGAGAAATGGGATGTGGGCAGTTCAGGGAAGTACCAGGGCTTGAATAGGTTTTAAAGTGAGAATCCTGAAATCAATCCATTGTACAAAAGGGAGCTAGTGGAGGCTGGCAAGAACTGGGATGATGAAGGAGCTGAACCTGGTATGAGGTTTTGAAGGATGAGGTAGAAATGGGGGCAAAGGAACATAGTGAGGAAGCAGTGTTTAGGGCAGCAGAAGATGAAATAAAAGTTCTTGAAGCCAAGGTGAGGAACTTTGAGACATCCTGATAACCTATAACAAATGTAAGGATTATCCTATTTTAATATTATTACAAACAGGATTCTGTCCCATTCTACAGTTCATTTCTTACAGTGAATTTAATCTACGGTATTTTTTCAGCAGGATTCCTCAATAAGGAAATCTATTATTTTTTCATTGATCCATGGGAATTCTTCTATGGATGTAGATTGCCTCTCGTAGCAGGACGTTCTTCTGATTCCAGCAAGTGGGGACAGATAGGCTGAAAGCCCAACCGCTGAAGGTGGGACAGATAGGGCGCAGGAAATGAAGCAGACCGATGCCCATGAAATGAAAGGGGGCGGCCAGGGTGGTATGATTTGAGAAGGTCGCAGAGGTGAGGCATGGTGAGATCATGGAGGGATTTAAAGGTGAGAATGAGGATCTTAAACTCTATCATTTAAGGGATGGGGAGTCAATTTATATTTATGAAGCACCCTTCACGCAGGATATTGTCTCGGAGAGCACAGATTTTATGTCCTATCAGTTTAGTTGAAAAAAAGGAATGAATTAATTATCAGTTGAAATTCTTTACCAGTTTGGCATGAATGACCTTTGTCCCTAGCCTTTATCATATTGTAAAGCTCTCTTTACAAAGACAAGGTAATACTCATAATAATCATTACATTTGATATAATAGGTTTATAATAATCCTTGCATTTAATATAACACCAAATCACATCATCAAAACATCTCAAAGCACTTCACGGGATTTTTACGTTGTGCATTTGCAGCACCTATAACTCCACCACAAGGAACGTCATGGAAGAGTAACCGAGAGACAGTCACTGGATTTCTTCTATCCTCCACTGTTGGCATGAACCTGGCTTCTTCTGCTCAACAGCCCTTTCCCAATGACTCATGTGGGGAATCGGAAGTGCACCCTTCCCCCTTCACAATATTGCTTTTGTAGCATACTGATCCAGCATAGCAAAGCACTGTCATCAGATCACCTGACCAAATGTGAACTGTGCCACTGAAGTGCTTAATCAAACCATTTGTTTTGTGCTCTGAACCAATCTAAAGTCTCAAGGTGAATGCCTTCTTCAATACTAGTGAGGCAAACACAATGGCATCAAAGTGGAATGCTTTCCTAATGAGGATCAGGAGGAATTGATACCAGCTGCACTCGCTGCCTCAGGCAACAAGAAAACCCAAACCAGATGATTTATCAGCAACAAAAATAGCTGGCATCTTTCTAGTCACAACTGCTTTCACTTGTGCTGAAATGCAAAGTCTTCTCAGTCAAAACACCAATGATTTTCAAGTATATTTGGATTCCTATGCTCTAATATCACCCATGCTAAATGTTAGAATTCTATAATATAAGTAACAATTCTTGCATTTGACAGACATCGAACATTGAAATATCACATGCAATTGCAGTCAAATATAGTGACTGTGTTTGTAAGCAAAACATGGCAGCCAAGTTGAGCAAAGCAAATGCTACACTAAACTAGAGACTGATTCTTAAACTACTGCAGCTAGAATAAATTTTCTTAATTTAAGTTACTCTTAACTGTTGCTTACAATTGCTTCCTCTATTAACTCTGACAGCAGCCACTTAAGCTTTGCTGTGGCCATGGTCAATCAGATGGGCAGGTTGCTGGGAAGCTAGATTGATTCTTTCTACACTAACTCACTCCCTCTCGCCACATGAGGTGAGATAGAGTGCTCTGCTTGTGCAAACATTCTCCAAACTGCTGAGCTAAAGCTCCTAAAATCCAGTTTTATTAATAGCATACATAGGGCTTCAAACTCCAGCTACTTGACTGGCAATGGAGCATTGTTCCGCTGGAAGTATTGAATTCAAATAATAATCCTTGCATTTAATATAGCAGCTTATCATGTCGTCGAGATGTCTCAAAGCGCTTCATAGGATTTACTGTGAAGTTGTTGACTGTGTATTCTGTGGGTGAAACGGTAATGAGATTTGGTACATACTTTCAGATGACTTCCGAAAACTGTTCAGGAGTTCATAAAGATACTTCAATAATCTAGGTTATTTGCTGAGAGAACTCAATAGTATAGAATTTTATGTTTACAATACCTTTACTAAATCTTGAATTTTTGGTTTATTGAACAAAGCTAAAAATCTTTGGTAGAAATAAACGCTACAAGGATTTTAACATATGCATCAGATGTTTGCTATAAATTACATAGTAGCTCTTTAACGAAAAGGTGTTGGCCTATCCTAGTATGAAAAAATACAGGTTAGCTTTATCTTGGTTTGATGCTTGGGAAATAGCTACTCTAAGACAATCTGCAATTTAAACATTGAATAAGATTAAGTTTAATAATGGCTCAAACCATTCATCTCCCATAGTTTTGGTCACAGGTGAGATTTAATGGCAATGTAGCCAGGTTTTTGTTTAAGAACAAGTCTATTAACTGCTCAATTTAAATCTACTAGCCACTTTTAAAAAAATAACTCCTGGGATATATATTTGCCTCGGAGATAAATTACTTCAGCTCCTACAGAGACTTGTTTTTGCACTTGCTGATAGTAAGTTAACCACTTTTATAATGATAATCATATTTTATGATGTCACTTGAAGATGCAGTGGGAACAAAAGGAAGTTATTGATTCTGGTGAATATCCTGGAGGAGGAGAAAAGTATAAATACTTTTCTATCATATCAGTTAAATTTCGGTTCTTCCTAAATACAGCCCCATGAGCTGTTCAGAAGAATCTCAGCATTCAGATTTGTCATTACAAAATAATTACTCACCTGTTTCAATAGTGTAAATCAATTCAGCATTTTTTCCTTTGTCCCTGTCCAGGGCTGTGACCTGCAGCACAGCAGAACCCTGAGCAGCCGACTCAAATACAGAACCATCATAGACAGTGTTGGTGAAATACGGGGTGTGATCATTGAAATCATCTACGTTGATCACAACCCGCACCAGATTCCGTCGGTAAGGAAACTCCTGATCTCGGACCTGGTGAAATCAATTCAGAAGTTACTTTGAAAAAGATCCAAGTAGTTAAATATGATCTATGGACATAAATATGTGTCAAAAGTTTGGAAAAGGCTTTATCTGCAACACATTAATGTAACATGTTAAACATCCTCAATTTCTTGGAAGACTTTTAAGTTCATTTTCCTCTCTGTCTAAAAGTCAGGTATGTAGCCCTTTTAGTTATCATTTTTGGTTACTTACAGTGATGTTATCAGTTCTCCATTGTATTCTTCTGAGATGCCACTGATATGTGCATCAATTTCTCACTGATTACAATCGTAAATATTGAGTATCAGTTCAGTTGTAGGGTTACTTCTCATTGCAGAGTGATGAGAATATGGCCAAAAGAGTGAATGGTAGCCATAAGCAACATAAGAAAGCTGAGGTTAAATTGACTGAAGGGCCTTCTTCATCCAAATCACAAGATCCCATAAACATCCACAAGGTAACTGACCAATAAATCCGAAAAGACCATTCACCTGGACACCAGGAGGAACTTGTTTCTCTTTTGAGTATCATCATGGGATTTTTTTTTACTTCTACCACCTCCAACTATGCAGCACTCCTTCAGTACTGCAATGGAGTGCCACCCTAGACTATGAGCTTAAGTCCTAGAACCCACAACCTTCTGATTCAGAAGTGGCGGTGCTTCCAATGGAGCCAAAGAATGTAAGCAATGCAGAAAATTTATGCCATGACTGCACAGATCTCTGTAACTCACTAAGTAAGGAAACAACATTAGTTTTTGAAGGAATATCAGAAAGGGAATACAGTCAGATATCTTGCAAGGCTTCTTATAGCTTTAGGATATTTTTCAAACTGGTTCTGTCACGATGATGGGCCACCTTACATACATTTTTAAGACATTAAAGGCAGAACACCAGGCATTCATACCAGCAATAAGGCTTCAGATATCTAGCCTGATTGCTTCAGTCACACCACCATATTAAGTACATATGCTTGAGGATATACTTGGGTCTGATGTATAGAAATCTGTTATCTACATTACCAATTTTCACCACTGATACCTAGTTTAACAAATTTCAACTGATTCATCCATGGTGTGTAATTCTTCCACTTAGATATGAATTTCTTCTAAACTCCTTCAGTTTGGAACCTGATGCATCTCATATCCCTTTTGAAAATAAAACTGCAAACTAATCAAATATACATTACAAAACAGCAAGAACATAAAGGATGAGATTCAGAGTATAATCTTTCCAAATCTGTTCTCATTTGTTTAAATTCTGAAGAATGGTACAGTTCATCAGTCATTTTATTATCAGTCATGGCAGATAATTGCTCCCAAAGTGTCTCTTATGGTGGTGACGATGCACAAAAACCTGCTCTGTACAAGAAAAGGATGAATTATACCAACTGGTGTACAATCAGCCAAAACTTAGATTGCAGCACAACATCTAATTTCACTGAACTGAAAAGAACCTCACAAATGTTGGCAGCTCTCTGAATATCATTATAAGCAGATCTGATGCAGAAATAGTGACATTAAATGTAATAAAGGAAATTTGGGGTAAATATTGCAACCTGTGATTTATGAATTCACACTAAAGTCACTGGCTGGTTTGCTGTTCCAACCCAATAGTTCAGAACCTGACAAATACTTCAGAGAAAACTTGTATTACATTTTTAGACATCCAAATCAATGAGTATGGTTGCAAGCTTGAACACAGCCAGTTTTTGTTTCTAAGATGTATAATTTAGCCAAAATACTACTGTGCAAGTACAAGCAGAAAAACAGATGCAATTTACCTCAGGGTATCAGATAAAGTCATGAACTGCCAGAGCAAGACTGAGACAATTTCTAAAGGCTCTGAACCATGTGCCACAGGCACCAGAAATGCTTTAGGTTATTTTTTGCACAAGTGGTACGTATCAAATATAGTTCATGCATAATGTAAGGATAAATTTTAACTGTGTTAATTTAATATGCTGGTGAGGCATTCTAATGATATTTTTGTTTACAATTCATTATGGTGCTAAATGAGATGAGTAATATAAAACCATTTCATTTTGTTAAAATAACACGCAATGTTACTCAGTAAAAAATAGCAGCGTTTTTACAGCTTGCAACTAATGTTTGTTAATGAAATAACAAGAATGCAAAAGCTATTTAACTGACGCGGTCTGTCAAAGCAATAATTCATGCTCTTAGCTGCATACTTTAATGTGTCTGGAATTTTAGCTCCAAGCTATTATATGTTTGAATATTCAACCAAATTGCCTAATAAATCTAAACAATACATCATATCAAAACTCTTATTATATTGTGAAGGACTTCATGTCATCTGTTCAACCGTCTGTGCACTATATTCGCACACATGCTTCTGATGCAAATAAAATAATGTTCCATAATCTGCACTAATAAAGGGATTATTGAGTAATTATTTATGTATTAACTTTGTAAGCATTAACAAGTCATTTGAGTGAAAAGGATAAACACAAGGCTGAGAAAGTAATCAGAAAACAGAGGGGATGATCAAAGAGTATATCTGGAGAAAATAATAGATGGGATTTTAAAAAAAAGGGCCAGATGTTATAGAAGAGGAGGAGATAGCAAATGAGTGTAAGATATTGGACTATTATATGAGTTATGTAAATAAATGTAGCATTTACAGGTGTGCTTAATTCTGTATTTAACATAATGAAAAGGATTATAATAATAATAATAATCCTTGCATTTGATATAGCGCTTTTCACGTCGGGAGAACGTCCCAAAGTGCTTCACAGAACACACTGTAAAGTGAATTGACTGTATATTTGTGGGCGAACGCGGCAGCCAATTGCGCACAACAATGTCCCACAAACAGTCGTAGATTGAAAATGACCAATTTTATTATTGTTTTGGTTTTGGAGGGATTATTATTAGGCGTGTGGAGTAAGGAAACTTGCCCAAGGTTTCGCCCTGACCTGCCTGGAATTGAACTCAGGTCTCTCGCTTGCAAGGCGAGTGCTCTAACCACTGAGCTACAGGACTCCACAATTGTAGGGCACAAAAAGGGCAGTGCAGTTGGTGTGCATGGACTGTAGTTTAGAACAGTTAAAGGAGTAACTAATGCCATCAGTCTTATTTTAACAGACAACTCTAGGTAATCATTGAAGCCAAGAATGGTGTATAAGGATTAGGAAAATGCACCCAGAAAACTAATTAATATAAACAAGAAGAGTATGGGAAGTAACTCTGGGAATTAGAGTCTGGTAAAGCTGCTATGCAGCAGATAAAACATTAAAGGGCATCATGAAGAGGGAATAATAAAACCTTCTGGAGAAACACCAGAAATATGAGAAAGGCATCATTGATTTACAGGAGGGAGGTTATGCTGATCCATCTATTGGATTTCTTTGAAGAATTAACTGATTTTCTGCTCAATTGAAACTAGGTAGATATCACACATTTAGATGTTAGCAGTGCTTTAACAATGTCACACAGAGTAACATGTGTACAATATTAGAAGGAATACAATTGGAGAGGGGAAGTTTCCGTAGAGGATTGGTACTTCAAAGTGATGGAGAATATGAAAGTCATAGACTTCCTTTCATATGGATAAAATGGGCATAAGAATGTTTCTGAGGTAAAGATGGACAAGAAGTACAAAAAAGACTTAGTAAGTGAGAATTGCAAATTTCTTGTGGACAGGCAGGTAGCATCTCAGAGCACTTAACAGTGTTGGAGCTTGTTCTGAGCCAGAGAGTGAGAGGAAAGATGACCATATTATATTAAACCTGAGATCAAATCCTGACGGGTCAAATCATACAACAGATTGGAGAAACGGAGGGAGGGTCTTTGCCAAAGTCGTCCAGATGAAAGTTAAATGAGAAAAAGAAGTCAGCAAGATCATTTTTTCTTTCTACGAGAGCTAGCAACAGAATTATCAGGAAGGAAATGTGGTGGAAAGGGATATTTACAGATGTTTGAAGAGATAACTTTGACAAGGGACTGCAAGGAATAAACAATGAAAGGATGAACGCTGAAGGGATAAGAAGGCAAGAGATGACATTTATATTCAATTAAGTTATATTTAGCAACTCTAATCCTGGACTTAAAGGTTATGAAGAGAGATAAACTTGGCTCCAGATGCTTCAGAATAATAAGAATCAGACAGAAGGTTTATGAGACACTGCAGAACAGGAACTAGCATTGATCCATAATATAGTGACCCACCTGAAGGTCAGAGAAGAAAGAATGAGCTAGGAAACCATCCATGACATTTAAAATAAATAAGTTGGTTCACTGGCTGCCTTCGATATCCTCAGTCTACAAATAGCTCAAATCTGACAGGATTCCCACTCAAACTTGCTGGAGATCAGATGGGCCAAATTGTACTCTAAATGTCTATAATTCTATGATTTGTGAACATCGGATGAGGAGAGGATTGGACTGTGAGACTTTACACCATTATCAGCCTGCTGACTCTTACTCTCATACACTGAAAATGGCCAATTGGCCAAGGTACCAAAGAGTTTACAGTGGACCTGGAACCACACCAACATAAACCATCCAATGAAGTGAGGGGAGGGAGTGAAATAGGGAGGAAATAACATTTAGAAAATCTGAGATAAAATCCTGATGTGTCAAATAGTTACTGGAATGGGGAAACAGATACTGTCCATTCAACAAGCTCTATAAGTAAATACTCACCATTACAGTCAAGATGTGCTGAGCCTGGACTTCATGATCCAGCCTTTCCGATATATATAACTTGCCTGTACCATGGTCAAGTCGGAATTTGCGCATGCTCATTGGGTTTATACTGCTGTGAATAGAGTAGGTCAATTTGTTTTTCTCATCCTTGTCAGTGGCTTTAACATGCAGGATCTCGGCACCCACGAAAGTGTCCTCAGAGATGGTGATTTCATAGTTCGGCTTGGAGAATACTGGACCATTATCATTGTTGTCAAGTATTTTTATATGCACCTGTAATGCAGAATGTGACAAAAATAAGACTTTAATTCTATTACAAATGCACTTTGAAGAAAGACTTATATAACAGAATTTGGATTATGAATATAAACAATTGTACTTTTTAGCTCTGATAATGTATGGACTTCTCTTTAGACACATGCCCCTGATTTATCTACGAGGGAAGGTGTTGTGGGGGGGAGGGGGGAATCTTTCCAGACGTGAAATAAACTAAATATTATTGAATCATAGGATTCTGGCACCAGAAAAAAAGTTAATTTTCATATCCTTACAATATGGAGTTTATCCTGCAATACAAGTACATTCAATTACAACTGAAATGAAAAAGCATTAGAATATATACAACAACAATTTGTATTTATATAGGGCCCTTCATTAAAGGTATTGTCTCTGAGCACTTAAGATCCTGAAAATCTGGTTTAGCCAGATTTGCCACCCTTGATTCTTTATAAATAATCCAGTGGGCACTTAAAATGTACAATATTGTAGTAGTACAAGTACAATAGCATAACATTGGGCTTTGTTTTATATAAGAACAACAAGATTTCATTTATAGAACACCTTTCACATCGGGAGGATGTCCCAAGGCGCTGGACAGTTGGGTCGGGACCCGAGCAGGGGGGAAATGGTCAGGGTGAGGGGAGGGAAGGGAGGGAGCGAGGAGGTGGTAGAGAGTCGAGAGGGGAGCTGAAGGCACGGTCGAAGAGAAAGGTCTTGAGACCGGCCTTGAAGGAGGAAAGGGAGGAAGCAAGGTGAAGGCACTGGGGGATGGAGTTCCAGAGCTCGTATAAGCAACGTAAATAACAAAATTGGAGATGTTTATGGGAAATACAAGGGAATAATATTATGGAAGAGTCACTCAAAGTCAATCTTAATGACCATATCCATAACAACGTAGCATTGGGACTGCATATCTGATTTTTTAAAGAAAATATATCTTTACATTCATTTCAAACCAGAAGATAACATCAACGGTAAGGGTTTGAAGATAATGAACAGCCTCCCCAATATTGACAACGGACACAAAGAAAGAGAAGGATGAAGGTGGAAAATGTATTTAATGTGCTACTTAGATATTAGGAAATGACTTGCACTGATAATTTATAGAAGGATCAAAAGAAGAAAAACTTTTCTTTAAAAAAATACAATGAGGTAATTGTTTTTCAGGGACAAAAATGTTTCGATGATGAATGTTATTTGCAGCTAATATTTAACCCATACATTATGTACAGAGTCCTGCTTAAGCACTGGGTGGGCATCAAACTATAAACATTATTGAGACTTTACTACAGCTTTGGTGACATAATCGTCTTAAAATGGTTGAGAGCTAATTCCTTCAGCACTTGGCTCCATTTTTCTGTAAATCTTTCGTATCAATTTAGACAAGTTTTTCAGCAGCTCAGAGTGGTAGAAATGCAGTATTTTGAGTTTTTATGCTGCTCAGCTTGATAAGAGAGACACAGCAAGACTGAGTGCTCCTTTGTCCACTTTCTGCTCCGGAAATATGCCAGCGGGAGAGGCAGGATCAATAAAAGACCAATTTTCTATGTGTAGATGCAATATATATATATATAGAATCATAGAATCCTAAAATATTACAGCACAGAAGCAGGCCATTCGGCCCATCGTGCCTCTGCCCGCTCTTTGGAAGAGCTGCCCAATCAGTTCAACTCCCCCGCTTCTATCCCCATATTCTTGCAATTTTTTTCTTTTTCAAGTACCTATCTAATTCCCTTTTGAAAGTTGTTATTAAATTGGTTCCCACCACCCTTTCAGGGAGTGCATTCCAGGCCGTAACAACTCTTTGTGCAAAAAAATCCTCATCTCCCCGCTGGTTCTTTTGCAAAACATCTTAAATCTGTGTACCCTTGTTACTGACCCATCTGCCAGTGGAAACAGTTTCTCCCTATCTACTTTATCAAAACCCATTATGTGAAATCTCCTCTTAACCTTTTCTGCTCTAAGGAGAACAATCCCAACTTCTCTTGCCTCTCCATATAACTAAAGTTCTTCATCCTTGGTACCTTTCTGGTAAATCTTCTCTGCACTCTTTCCAAGTCCTTGATATCCCTCCTAAAATGTGGTACCTGCCCACAGTGGAATGGTTTGGATACTCTTAAACATAGTGATGGCTTTCTGCATGTGCCAGTCATCCAACAATACTTACGTTCCTACAAAACTAACGCTATGAGTTAAACAATTTAGATTTGAATAAACAGTTTGGGAACAATCTATTTAGTTCGCTGAAAGCCTCCATTCAGAACTTTTGTTTTCTTAATAACAATTACACATCTTTTTATTTGCATTCTGTGCACAAGATCCTACTGAACCACTTTCCATCATCCTCCACATATTTGTTTTATTCCTCACAACTAAATAGTATTTAAAGCAATGTTTCTGCAGACCAAACCAGCATATGAATCAATCCTTGTAGCAATTAAACCTTGTACCATTCAAATTTTTATGAAGAATTTTGATTCAAGAAATTGACTCGATATACAATGGAAATAAAGCACTATGGAAATTAATGCAGTAAAGCTTGTCCTTCACAGGTTTTTAATGTTGCTCATAAATACCCATTGGTATGTGTACATGAATAAAAGACTCTGAGGAAAGTTTGGAAGGATGCCATAAACTATCTTACATGAATACGTTTCTGTTTTATTACATGATCAAAACCTAATGTTGTACTACATTTTTTCTGTTCATTGGATATAAAGAATCAAGGGTGGTAAATTTGGCTAGACAAAGTCTTCAGTGCTAAGTGCACCAGGGTATAAATGCATGGAATAGTCCCACACGTAGTAGTTCTTGTGACCTTCAGCTACCTTCTTGGACTGAAACAATAACAAACGTATGCAATGTGAAAGATCTGTACTAGGACCCATCCTGTTCCTCGTATACCTAGAATTATGTGTATTCACAAATACTATGTTGTGCAATGGAATTAGAGGAGGCAGTCATGATCTTACTTAGAGAGCTCAGCAGCCAATCTTTGGTAAATGCAGTTCAATACAGATTAAGGCATGGAATTTATATAGAAAATTAAATGAGAGGATGAATGGGTGGATGGACGGGAGAATAGAACTTAGCAAGGGGAAACTTGAAAGATCTAGAGGTATTGCTTAACTCCTTAATCAATATGTCCATACACTTTGAGGCAGCAATAAACAAGGCAAATAGGATGACAATTTACATTGTCAAATCAGTGGAGTTTTGATAACCTAAATCATACTTAATCTGTGTGGTGTTATGGGTAAGGCACACCTAGAGTACCACATTCAGTTCCAATCGCTGCAACATAATAGGACTGCCTCGGACCTAGAAGCAAAAGGGATACTGAGGCTGATTTCCAATTTTAGAGAACTCACTATGGGGAATGACTAGATAAACTGAGGAACTTCAGCTTTCAAAAACAGCATCTCAGAGGAAAGCTTATCAAAGTACAGTATATATAAAATGCTTAATGGGATAGAGAAAATGAACCCAGAACAATATTTTTAGATATGGCAAATTAATAGGACAAGAGGCCAGGATTGTTAAAGTAACTTTTGGATCTGCAACTGGAAAACATTTTTTTCGCATAGAAGGAATCAACAGTTGAACCAAGTGAGTAGAAATGATGGTAAAGGCAAGAGCTTGAGTTCATTTTTAAAAAAAAGAGCTGGTGTAAAGAGAAGATAATAGGTTTGGCATTCAGGAAGTACGAGATTAAATGGCCTGCAGAGTCGTCTTGAACTGAACTTCTCTTGAAACATAAACTGACCTTCATAACATTTGCACTACTTGTAACCATGAACCACAGAACACTGAGACCAGCTTTGCTGAAGGTCTCACCTTGATGAATGCCAATTCTTCAAATATAATTGTCCCTGGGGGTGTTGGATCAATTCAGCTGAAGTCAATATGTTTTAGAATAAGCTACAAGAAAGATGGGTAGGAATGCATCCTCCACAGGGGCTCTTCCAAACACAAAAAATGTTCTCTTGTGTTTCTACCTTTGGACTCTATCCACAATTTCTTTTAACTAAGAAGGTAGGTCCCAAGGTACAGTGACACAGTACAAACAAACTTAATTATAGACCTGGTAAATGTATAACAAAGCTTGACCTCCACGCGTTCAAATTTACTCTTTTATGTGGTCAATCATTCATTGTATAGAGTGACTAAGTTAGGTTTATCACGTCCTTCAGGTTGGATAGGTTCTGTTCAGTTCCCATGGTGATTGAGAAGCCTTGGTTTACAAAGCCTGTTTTGCAATCTCCAGTGATGTTCCTTGTGCAAACAAAATCTGGAAAATTGCCGATGCAAGAGAAACCTCATATCTCCCTTGATAAATAATCAAAGCAATTCAGCACGGCGAGAGAGAAGTAGAATACATAATGTGCACAAGGTATACTACAGATCTGAATGGGATCTTAATAGTATTCTGGGTTACGTTATATATGGACAAATAATAGTCCAAGATTAGGTTCTGACAAATATGAATGAAGGATTAACATGGTCTTTGAATTCTTGATAAGAATCTGCATTAGTGAACCTACTGAATTTTCATTCCCCACTTCAATTATTTTCAGACAGGTAATCTTCCATTTGCTGTTAATGGCCGCTTCCATTAGTTTTCTAATTTGCTGATCAAGACCGGGAAATTAAACATAAATTGTACAACATGGAGCTGGCAGTAACCAAATGCACAAGAGGAGTTATCTGATCTGAGTAAAATTATCATGGAAATAATTCTTGCATTTTATATTGAGCCTTATGATGCCTGTCAAAATGTTCCAAAACATTTCACAGGATTTAATATAAAGTGGAGCGACTGCAATTTTATGCTATATAATTTAACCCAGACTACTATTAACACCCTATTCAGGTCTGTGGTGTATTTTGTGCAACCATTATTCTATCTCCTCTCTGTGCTGAATCGCTTTGATTCTTCAACAAGTGAGTTATGAACTTTCTCTTGCAATTTTCCAGATTTTATTTCACTGAGA